GACAGTGATTACAGGCGAGGTCAACAATTTCATCAAATACTATACTTTCCCTTACGCCCAAAATCAGAAAATGTTCATGCCTACTGTAAATAAATAGTAAAACGGAGCGTCTGATGCTTGGGTGCGTATAAACCGACACTTTATGTTCGTGAATATCAAAGAAATTGTTTTGGTAGCGGAAAAGTAACCGTAACAGGGAGTCATAAAAAGTCGTAAATTAGCAATTCCATTATGCCACTTCAGTCCCACGAACCCTTAAATAGCAACACAGCTGCTTTGACTGAATGAGCATCTAGATTTCAAACAGTACGGACCATTTTGTTTTGCTTCACTGACTAGATGGCCACAAATATACAAGCAGTCCGCTACTTTGCTGGGTGATTTATGGTTTGGTGAACTCTAGAAGTTGCATGATAAATCCTTGGTTTTCACAAGTAGTGCAGATGGCGACTTCTTCTCAGTTTTATTGCCCTGACTACCTACCTATATGAACGAAATAACTTCTAATAGCAGAGCCCGAAAGCCGAACATCGCTAATATTAACTCCGTCATTTAACACGACCTTGAGCCATTTCCATCCATCTCCGAACCTCGCTACCAACTGCATGTTCATTTTATCCCCCCATCTCTTCGATTTTCCACAGGTCGTGTACTCAAATAATGAAATGACCGTACTTATTTCTTAAAGCCTGCCATGCATCTTTTAACAAATCCGTACGTAATGCTTAACTACGGACGGGCTTTTCTTAATTAAACAGCGCATGGATGCCAGGTAACAAATGAGCGGCACATAGCTTTATGCATTACATCTAGCAACACGCTCAGAGAACACGGAGGAAAGGAAAATGGGCAGACAGTAGGATGTTATAGACAGTGTAAAGTTACTATTAAATTCCCCAATGCTTAATTAAACACCACTCCACAAAAATATAATCTAATCCTACGTACTCGGTGGTGATGAGTGGTCAGCTTCACGCTCCAGCCGCTTTCAGATAAATATCTCCCTGCTAACTGGATATGAGGCTGGACGGGCCCCAGGACAGGTAGTAACAAAATGCCAAAGTAAAAAATCCCTGCCCTTACCGGGCATCAAACCCCGATCGTCCAACACATAACTTAGTCAAGACACTGACAGCTATTTCGGTTTCACTGTAAAAGCCCAAGAAATACAATGATACACATTGCAAAAAAAATACATCAACGAACCAAATTCGTGGAGTTTCTTGTAGGTGGTCTATATATTGCGAACACGAAAGAAAAGTCTCGCCAATTCATCATATTCGGAGCACCAGAAACAAATTAATCCGCGACCAGAACATTATTTATACCATCGTAAGACTACGAAGCTCCGGTTCCAATAGGAGACGGATCAACCTGTCCAAATATTTTGTGTTTAGGCAATGTATTTGCCCTGTTCATATCAGTTCACGTCTTCATAACAATCTAACGAACGACTTGCTTCATAAATCTAGTAAATTTAACCACCGACAAGTACCTATGAGAGCATATGGAATCCCAGACTCCGACCACAACCGAGTGATTCTGTGGGAAATGCGTCGAACCGACACGAGGAGACGTTAATTATTTATTCCACAGACAAACGTAGTACATGAATAAAACAGCGGTTAGCTAAAGATCTGTGACGACTCATTCAGTATGACATTTCCATGACCACCGTCAATTGTCCGAGGTATATTAGATTCAAAAGTTGACTCTACACCCAAATTCAGTTGACTGTCACTTACTGACAAGGGTTTTGTCACTTTTCCTTTATATCAGTGGAAACTGTCGTAAACAAAGCACGCTGGCCACTAGACCGCACAGATGGCGCGCGTCCACACGCAAGGAAACCTGGTTCATGCCCGTGACCTCGTGAAACGCAATGACGTACTCCGTTCACATCCACACATTACAATGAGCACACCCAGCCAACATTCAACAACTAGGGAGTTCAGATTATCAGTCACATCCTGAAATACGTGAAACTAAATTGGGAAGTACAAACTGGGTTGCCCCAAAATAGTCTTACACAATTTGAGTTTCATTAACACCAAAACCACACACGCCAATCATGATAGAATCTTCGCAAACAATTTTGAGTAATCATTTACGTTTTCAAATTTGAACTACAGACCATATGTAATTAATTTTGTCTTAACTTTTAAGATTTTCCATTTAGTCTAAAATATTAAAGGACTCTACGTTATATATACATATATATTATATATACATTCACACACACAAACTCAATGGAATATTCGAATGGATCACATTCAATAAGGTCGTACAAAATGGTGACGGCTTTTCTGTATGTACCATTCACCTGATGACAACGGTCGAAACACGTAGTTGAGTTCGGGCTCCGATACCGGCAATACATTCCTATAATTACGATCATGTTTTGTTGGCTTACACTTCAAATAAAAATTAATGGAGTGCTGGTCGACTAAAAGCCAAAGTAGTCAGACATCTGCTCCCGAACTGATTACGATTTCGGTCGGAGCCCATCGCGATGTGACCACATTCAATGAGAGATGTAGGTTCAATTTCGTCCGACTTGTCGCTGGAATTCCAATTCGATCGACGTCGGTCGGTGCTGCGTCCATTATGAACACAGCCTATAGAGGGAAGTGCTACGAAGTATAGTACTTGCTTGATCTTAAAATTACAGCTGGTTTCATCCTCTCAGTTCTAGGACCACCTTCAGGCCTGCTATACAACGTAACGGCTCAGAACGTCAAACACTGAATCCAGCTCAATTTATGAAACAGAAAATCCACATTACAAGAACTGCAAGGGTCATGATCTGATTTAAAACTAGTAGTGCTGAAGAATGGATAAGAACGTATCCTGATTAAACTGTTGGTCCTGCAACCTGAAACCATCCAAACGGCAGTCATTTTCTTCTCGTTTCAATATAACTCGAAGACGGAGTTACGCGACGTTATCAAGTGTGTGCTAGCTACTACAATGGTTCGAAATAGCTGCTCTATGTCCGCGTAAGAACAAACTTTGTCACGCCCTTCTTTTCCAAAAAAACAAAACACAATGAACATTTACAATCAGCCAAGTTCTCACCACGCTACAGTCCAGAAGACCAGCATCAAAATCTTTACCGCCCTGAGAACCTCTCTCTCTCTCTCACACACACACACGCCCCAACAGACCTACATAAAGCGTAATTAATAGATTTCTGATTAGGCCTACACATGCTCTTTGTATTCGCGTATTAACAATACAAACACATAAATTACCAGTTTTTATTTATCACCCTGGACCCTGTAACTCACTTGACCCTTGACGCAGAGTACTTTATGAGTCGTCGTTGAACCCGATTCAGTCTAGACCTTTACACCCCAAAATCCATTTACATCCATTAATAGTGTCCGCCCATCAACGCTCATGTTCCCGTATATATTTTTCGCAAAGTCCATCCTCCTTGAAAAGCTGTTATATTGAGAAATTACCAGTCTTGTGCGGAACCCAGAAACTCGTAATCACTGATAAGGTCGTATTAATGTAATATACGTAGCATTTGCTTAGTCAAAAGTAGATCCTATCCCGTCGTTTGACGCGTCAGATACACTGTACTATGAACAGAACTGCTTCTACGACTGGTTAAGTAGACGAATACTACTGTATCAAATCCATGGCCTCTTGGGATATACATAAAATAGTAGTGAAGAATGAAAATGTAGACCGAACAGAAACACCTGAAAAATTCAGTACCTAGGCCTACATTGATTTGTGACTCAACACGGGTGAAAGGTGTGCAATCTCTGCTTTTATTTTTACTCTCGCCAGTCGTTTTACTCGAACGCACTGACATAAACTGTAAGATATGTGCTGATATGAAACGATGCTTTCAGAGTAATTTGGCCCAAATACCAAGATATACAATGTTTAATAATTCATTCTATACTTGTACCACACTTTGGCGAAACTTCGGAAAAATACGTCAATGCTTCGTATTGCAGTGCCAGTTTCCGCAGCTTACAAAAATTACTGCTAAATGTTTGTATTCATACAATTAATTGTTAATCACTGAAATTGCACATCGCAGTTCTCCTCACAGTAACTTAATAGCGGCCATACACACGTTTGCAGCAGCACCATCCGTAATTGATTAAATTACTATCAGAAAGTTGTGCAACATTTTGTTTTACACTTTGTAATGCAAAACCTACTAATAAGGGAGCAGCGCAAAATGTAACTCGTTTTAATATTTTATGGCATTAAATCACGTTAATCTGTTCACACCTAATTATAACGAGCTGTGGCAATTTTTGCCAAACTATGAAATTAAATACAACATTCTGACAACGCGAAAATGTACGTTATAAACACCAGTTCTTCAGAAATTAAATTTGTTCTACTGCCGGACGGACGCAGTTATAAACTTAGGCTACACACAATTACAATTCGAACCACTTACTAGAGATCACAGCAATTCACCTGGTCAAGAAATTTAGTAATTTGTGGAACCCTGAGGCTCATTACCGCGTTTACAACAAAATACAACAGGGAATTGTACTGAGCCTGCTTAATCCAGTTTGCATCCTCATATCCCATATTAAGGTCTATTTTAGCATTATCTTTCAGTCTAAATACAGGATAAACATTCATAAGATCAAAACTTGATACGCGGTTTAATATTTATAGAAGTCAAAACTACAATATTATTTTCCCTGCAGAATTAAAGTTTACAATTAAACGTTTAGTAACATTTTAGGCTTTCACAGCTATCCATACAGAAATGCCTGTCATTTCTTCTTCGGCAGCTATAAGGTATGAAAACTCGGAAGTACCTAGAAACTTTAAAAACACGTTTCGTGATTTCAAATATGGCTATTAAGTTTACACAACAAATCGACGACAATATTGACAAAAATTTCGGAGTCGTATCAAACGACAGGTGTTTGGACGAAGATGAACAATTTTCTTATGTAGTCCCCTTATTATGTGAGCCAGCCTTGAAAAAAACAATTAGCTGTCCTTACCTGTTATCAGCGCGAACAAACATGTCAGCTGCACAGCGCCTCTGCTGAACTTTCCCATTTTTCCAAGACCGGTGTTTATTCCGTGTCCTTTCCTGTATACTACACTACGATAAATTTCGTTTTATTTTCCCCCGCTGAAACAAATTCCACCTCCCGTCTTCTCTACACTTCTGAGAAAAATACAACCGCGAGGATTACTTAGTGTCAGTTGTCAATTACCTTATTTTCTATCTCCCCCCTCTTATTAATTCCCAACACTTCGCACACCCAGGCAAGTTTCAGTTTCTGCACTACGGGGGCAATCAAAAGGATTAAGCACCTTCAACAAAAGTCTTATTTCTTTCCTACGAGTTCAATGTATTTCTTATTTTCTGGAGAACTGTCACGCCACGTTTCCAAACAACACTGAAACACAGAGCTTACCGCAGAGCGAGCAGTCCTCTACTAGCCAACACAACCACTTCGCTCTCAAACACAAGTTCGTTCTTGCCGCGTATGAGAGAGAATGCAGCGAGCAAAAAAGGCATCGCCCCTGCTAGAACTATTTCCTAGCCTCCGCGCGCGCGCGCACAGCCACACTGTATCACTCCGCACCAGCGCACTCTCAATTACACTGAATCGACACCCACATTATCATAAGATAAGATAAAGTACCAGATAATAATAAACTATAGGCAAAGAATGCTTTCCGGGAAAACGATACGTAGGATGACTCAAATTGTTCGTCATTCACACACAAACTACCAGAACGCATTGCCTTACGATACTACACCGCTCTCAAGCTAACCGCACTGCATCCACTGCCACTTCCACTTACCTCATCCTTCTCTTTCTCTCTCGACAACCTGTTTATGAAAATCGAGCGCGGACCTTACTAGCGACATCTCTCGGCAATGTTCTTACTCACATCACACGAACAGTTGAAACTCGGACCACGATCATTGCTACCATGAATGTCTTCTTGCTTATGACCAGTGCCATTGCAAGGGTATGGTACGTTGCCACATTGTCACTCTCACTTCGATAAGTGAACTCTTTAAATCTGTCGCGACAATTTCAAGGCAGCTGGTCGTCTAGTACGACGTTGTTATTCATCATTCACTAATTCGAACAACTGCATCAAATTCTCTGTGTACTCTCAACGGGAACAGCACTATTAATCCGGCATTTATAAAAGACACATGGGCCAAATGTGAGGATGATATGAAGGTGAATAATCTAAGTAAAATTTAACAACGCCAGAAACACAGAGAAGTGCACAGTATCAGAACTTCTTATGTAGCGAAGGAAACTGGTCTCTTTGGGACAGGGCGTGCCAGTCTGTAACATTTTCTCTTCTGATCACCTGGGAAGTAGAACATGAAACATGACAACGCATCATTAACCACACAAATCCTCGGAAATCAATTACTATTAGGAAGTATCAATGCGGAAATATCAGGCCATAGAAATTGGAGTCTGTGAAAAGCGTGGAAAGCAAAACGTTCGCAGATTGAAGTCTAGACTATTGGTCTAAGTGCAGGCCCCATATCCCTTGCCCCTGAAGCATTCAAATCACAATTAATGGCTGTGTTTATGACGCCACTGCACACAGTTCACATTTGACTTATTCCAGACTTAAACTTCTATACTGTACCATAAGACTTTACTACTAAATCGCTGATAATCATTGCATAAAAAGGTTATTTTGTTAATTGTATAATTCGTAAGTCTACACTTCTTATGATTCTAAGAGTAAACAGCGATTACTTATTTAAACAGCCCTAATTCAGCGCTCTGTGTTTTTTCCCCTCAGCAGAACAGTTGCTTACAGTGATGATAACCGCAAAATACTGACGACATTAACGAAACGTGTTTTCTGATACCAGTATTAGACCTAACCTAATGGAATTACACAATTATAAAAATGTACGTAGGCCGCACAAACGTAAAACAAGACCGCGGATGATAACGCCTGCTTTAATCTAAATATGTTTAAGATTCATTTGAATAAATATTATTTATTTTTCAAATAACTATAGGCCTAACCATATGCAAATTTCTAAATCTTAATTCTATTCCCACTTCAGCAGTTCGTGCAGTTGTGATATTGGTAGTGTTGATGACAAGACGAGATGGTCCCAAGTGGCGTGGTTTCTGTATCAAGTTTCACGATAAATTACGTCTACAATAGTGATTACATAATTGAATTAGGGTCTCCGAGATAATTGAAGTTCCGTCCCTCTGGACCCTGTACATTATTATGAAGGATCTAGTCTGTATTGATTGTTTCTTGATACGACTGTGTGCGTTGCAGGACAGAGAGAGGGAGAGAGATACAGATGATGAAATAATTGTATATCTGCAAGTCTTTGTTTCTTGAATTTGAATACTGAGCTATTCATTTAATTTTTCTCATTTTGCTTTAGTTAATCTTCTTTTTCTTATTTTACTGTTACTATCCACTAACCACTACATTATTATAAAAATATTCGGAACAGTTTATTTTAATACTCGTGCTCAGAAAGGTAATGAAAAAGCAGAAAAGAATAAAGGAAATGAGAAAATTTGAAAGAGCGGAGAGGAAGAAGTTAATGACGATAGGGCAGAATATTTAACTAGTCCCTTATTTTTCTTCTTCTGGTATTTCTCGTTCTCCCAATAAAATATAAAAAAGAATACATCCAATATTAAGAATATTACCTTAATCGTATTTTTAGTCTTGTTATAACTCTGCCTCCAACATCGTCATTGCCACTACAGCAACCATCTTCTTGTGTCTGCATTACGCTTAGGTGGTTTAATTTATTGGTTTCTGAGACTGGAGCCATTACATATCTAACTCCACGAAGCAGAGCCCTTCCTGAGAAACTATAGTAAACTAAGCTAGTCAAAGAATTCTCGCATTTTCTAGAACACAAAGGTTAATTATGTTTACAAGAGAACGTCACCGGTCGCTATCCGGAACCAGATAAAGTCAATCCACACACACAAAACCGATTTCCCTAAGATACATTTTAATATTATTTTTCCATCTACTTCTATATCTTCCGTGTGATCTCAAGTGAAAGTGAGAGAGAGCCATGTTAGTTTTCTGAAGGCACGATTAAGGTCATGTCACCTCTCATTTTAGTTCTGGTTTAATATTATCCTCTCATCTTCTTGTTGACTTAGAACTGAACGTTCTCCATCTCCAATGTTCTTCAGTTACGTTTCGTGTTCCACACTCTGAGCCACGAACGCCCATTTCACTGTCCGGCGAGCTAAATAAATAACGAAGTTCTTCGATTGTAAGAGCCTTTATTAAACTTAGGCATCTGGCAGTTCCAGAATTTCTAATATTTGCCTCAAGAAGCTAGAAAATTTGAATGAGACAAGCTTATCTCTTAAACCACCAGGCCAAGATAGGAATAGAAAGAAATAACTATATTTATTTCTCCCCGTTGCAGAAAATATGGAAAACTGATTCGTTTATAACAACAGGCACAAGTGATCGAAGAAATGTTAATAAGAATTTCAAGTTCAAAAACAAATTTAACAATAAATTTGGCAGAATTACTGAAAGTCGCCATCTAGTGGTTATCAGCTGTGCTTCTTATTGGCGAGGTCTCGGATTCAAATCTTAGTATGGGTACTGGCTATCCAAACTGAGGTTTCCCGTTATTTTCCTCATTCCCCTCGGCCTCGAATGAGGCTAAAACTGCTTCCTGATTCATTATTCACTACCTAACCATTCTATTGTTCAACTTTGTATCACCTATTCTAAGCATCTAAAAGTGTCGTTAAATAGACCAAGACAAGGACCAGAATTAAATCGTCTTAAAATATCTTTTCTTATAGAATGAATAAGATTAAACAATTTAAGAAAAATCTGTTTCCACTTAGGTCACTCGGATTCAGTCGAATTTCAACGGTAAGATATCTAATAATTACCCTTTTGTCTAAAAGTATTAGACGCGATGCAATACTGACATTAACCGAAATACAAAGTAAAACTACAAATTTTCTTCTCAGTTCTACGCCACACACATTTTACTTGTAGAGACATATCAAGTTATAATGCAGTTAAATGTAACATGTGCAATGGACTAGCTACATCAGAGGGCGAAATTCGGGCGTAATTAGTTTTAGCTTCGTGGGAATCCCTAATTCAACATGTAAATGCAACACTACTCTCTAAACCGTATAACAGGCATCTTGAAGTCCATAAACAGCTGACGTACTGCCCCATTGTACTCCACTGGCAAATGAGTATTTCACCAGTAGTTGGTATATTCCGTCGAAATCCACACTAACGATCCTTAGAGATTTTATGCACGTGTGTTGTCTGTTTTAAATAAAATCACATATTAATTAAATAAGAGAAAACCGAACGTCGAGATCGTGTGGTTAGCTCTCGTGCTAAACATTCGAAAGGTCCCGGTTTCAATTCTTAGCCCGAAGATCGACAATTCTGAATTATTTTCCCGCAGTCCTTTCAAGCAAATGTAGAAATTCTAATTTAATTTAAGTCACAATGGCCAACAGGCTTGTAATTCTACTGTGATAGTAGAAAACAAGAGATGGATACAGACAAAAAAACAAAGTATTAAGAAATAATATCTTTTGCTGTGATAGTAGAAAACAAGCGATGGATACAGACAAAAAAAACAAAGTATTAAGAAATAATATCGCCAAAGACATTCAGAGAACATACATCACACATATGGGTACATTTATAATCCTTCACTTTTGTTATGACACCTCAAAAGTTGTTAGGGGCGTGAATACGTGGTTACGCACAACGCTGTCCAGACATCCATTCTTATTCTTCTTGTTACAGGTAAGTCGTCAGCCTCACGGCATGGCCGCATTACTCCAGTGCTGTATAAACGTGCCCTTGCCAGCAAGCGAGTCAAGCATTCTACCTGAGCTGTCCCTGGTCTAACGGACGACACGCAGCAAGGGAAGAGACTAGCTGGTTGCAGGTGCGGGCGGGGAACTGGCACCAGTAATCCTTTCTGATTGTCACTTTGCAACACGGCCGTACCAGCTCGTTGACTTGCTGCCGGCCAACGAGACTGCGGTCAGACAGCTAATTTGACAGCCTTAACTATCTGCCAACCTCACGTCCCGCATCAAATTATACCATGCAGTTCAAACATTACCGAAGTGAAGAGACAACTCTGTGTCGATCCTGATTCGCGGATTTTGTTATTATCCAATCATACTTCGTCAATCTGTTTTTGTAGTCTTAAAAATGAAAACACAATGTGTTGGATTGTTTTGTCTAATTAATCCAACCTTTTATATTTTGTAAAAAAAATGCACCCCGTAACAAATAACAGGATAAAAACACTCCAGTCAATATTTCATCACTACATTGGTTTACTTGTCTATGAAAAAGAATACTGCGTGATTCAGTGGACAACAGGGTACTTCTAAATAATCAATGGAATGCGCAATCACGGAAATTAATCTTGTCCGTATAATAGACACTTCCGTGACATACAAGACCCCATTTTTGTGTCCTAAAAGCCGACGTCAAATAGGGGCACAAAATGGTTTCCAATCCTTACAGCCAAGAACCGTTTGTTCAACCATCCTCTCCCGCTACGCTAAATAAAGCGTCTTTTAAAAACCTCCTGTAGTAAAAGACAGATACAGGATAACAATGTGACTAAAAATCACTGGATGGGCCACCACTTTCGATTATAATTTGTGTACATTTAATTAGTCCATAATTTTGAGTAAAGACTTTAATTTAATAAAGCGTAACAAAAAAACGTGATTACATATCAAAATGTTTATTTAATTTGACCACAGTCGTTTCTGAAAAAATGTCAGGTGTCAACTGACTCGTACAGTGCTGAACAAAAGCCGAATTTTATTCACGCTAAGGAAAAGAGTGATGATAAATTGCTTCCAATATAAAACTGCGAAAGGGATGACGCAAAGGTCTTTTTGAAGGAAACCGCGTCACAGAATTCTGCTCAGACTCCAGAAATTAATCTCCTGTGAAAAGATATATCGGACAGATTGTCGTGTAAAACCTGTATCGATTTTATAAAAGATACTTGAACACATGTTTTTATAAAGGTTTTACAGGAAAGTCAATGTTTCTGATCTTGCAGTTACAAACCGACAACATTACGTGGAGAAAACTACGTAAATACAAATAATGACTTTGGAATTAAGCTTTAATGCGTTAAGTGAAACTTTACCTAACTCCTAATGGTACAGGTAAATCAAAACTACTTTCTACTTCCCCGGCTTAAAGTTGGTTAATAGCTACGTCATTTTATTAAACAAATGAGTATAAAGTTACTAATTCAACACTCACCACACGCAGAACAGGTTAGCAATATTGGACACGTTTATTCAGAAGCCAGTTTGAATCCTTATTGGGTCTATTCTGAGTGAAATATATAATAAATTTCCTCAGTCTTGCCTGGCAAGCGTCAATATGGTACCTCAGACTAAACAATATGTTCTGATTCTAAATTTTTTTACATTCACCAATCGTAATTTTATTCGCAATTCACAGCGTGAATCCATCTTTCCTTTTACAATCTCAAGTTTTCTTTCAATCTAGTAAAAAGTATCACAAACTAAATGAACGTGTAATTAAACAAAGCGGGAACATGAATGAAACAAACATTACACTGTACTGAAGTAACTTTATATGAGGCAGGGGGTGATGTTTGTAAATATAACTGACCGTGATGAACACGGAGAGATATGTAAGTCCTACATGTGTTCTATAGAAATCGAACTCGGACAGAAGGATGTCGAGATTGAAAACTGAAATCGGTATGCCAAATACAGGAAGAATCTCCAACGTTATATTATTATACGACTGTCCAGACTAGCAAGGCGAAAATGTTCTTTCGTATTAATACAACAGAACGTGATTGACATTGAGCATTACTCAAGTCGAGGTGAATGTTTCCTAAAGGTCAGAGTTTCCACACAATTTTTAATATAAGTGCTTAATTTTGTGCAGGATCCCTTAGCTCTCAGCTTCCATATATGTAACATTAGCAGCTTCACACAGCGGTAACGTTTCTGACTTTTATTAAATAAAGTTTCTATCTGTGAGATTTTAGGTCCTCACGGCGGCGAGTATATATATGGCCGTCTTTTGGCTTGATGCGCCGTACAATTTGGTAGACTACACGCCGAAACCACCCAAAAGACAGCCGTCTTGAGGGTTTTCATCATTTTCCTCAGTTCTTCCAAGAGATTTATGAGAATGAAATAATCACGACAGCTTCCTTTCCATTTCAACACACATTAACATCTTCTCGTCTGTTTATGCCCATCCCAGGTGATAAAACAACCACCATTTCTACCAGTAGCTCTGTTTTATGCCCAGTGTCTGTCGCAGCTCTCTGGACCAGGCAATGAAACTTGCGCCCCTAGCAACAGACAGGTTGCGCACTCAGCTTGCTAATAATGCCATGCAGATTCCGTAAACCCCATGTGACGTTGTCTAATGAGGATTACACATTGTCGGTATGGGGCAAGCGAGGCAGGGTTTATGCCTCCTCTAAAGCGAGTAGCTTATTGAGTCTGCTACAAGAAAATCATCATGTGTCCATACGTGAGTCGTGCTCTGTGACCTCAGCAGCGAACGTAAAGATGATTACTTTTGGAGACCTAGACGTAGATGGTGGGATGATAGGATGGATCTTAAAAATGAGGGTGTGAACGGAATGGGCTGGATTCAACTGAATCAGGACTGGGCCCCGTGGAGGACTTCTGTGAACGTGATAATGATCCTTCGAGTCCCATAAAGCGTAAGGAAATTCTTGACCAACTGCGCGGCTGTGATGTTTGTTGTTAGCTACAGTTACGCGTTCGTTGCAAGATGTGCATGAAATTAACACATGTAGAGCTTGATCGCGTCTGTATATCCGAATGACTGAAGTCGAGAACCATTAAACGGATTTGGATTAAATTTTGTTTAAAAATTATCCCATTGGAGTCTACACTAAAATAGAAATTTTCAGTTTCATATAATCGGTAATACCAACATGGCGGACAAACAAATTTGTGAGGTGGGATCAACACTAGTGCCCAGTGTCCAGTGGTATCCCCATATACCAAATAATTTTTCATTGGCCAACATTTGCATTTTTCCCCACAGAGTTTATTTATCGGGTCCTTATGATTCTCAGTCGGCCTAGAAACAGAGATAATGTCCTTAAATAATTGATACTTGTAATGGAAACGAGTTGTGTTTCCTTTGAGGTAAAGACTGACATTTTAAATATTATTTAGATGAATTTCAGGCTTTAAATGGCTAATGTTAAACATTTTTTTAATTCGCCGTAAACTTATCATGAAAGCAGCCACTGGATAGCACAAAACAGCTATGCTTGTATTTCGCTATTGTAAAATAAAGAGCCAGTCATTTTGAAACAGAGTACAAATGTACTAATGAATGTATTCAGAAGCCACAGTACTTGGAATCCTAACTTCTCACGCACGGAACAGAAACTGCAATAAATAACGTTTGTACGATTATAAACTGCCATTTTCATTTGTGACAACGATGTATGTGCTGCCGTATAGCGTGTGATGATTGTACTTAAATGCCGAGAACTGAGTTAAGCGCATTTTACACAATGTTTAATTTGGCCTCACACACAGTAACAGATATTGATGACTGGGCTTTTAGCTTACAGTGATGTGCGTGAAATGAGTTATGTGACAGAAGAATCCCATGTTTCAACGCACGAGCTTACACACTAAAGCTCCCCTTTCCGTAATTTATTAAGTTGCTCTTAGATCATTGGCTCCAACTGACTCCCCGATATTGTAACTTCAGAGCGAGGGTCGTTATTCATGTGACAATATTTTCAGTTCCATAAAAGACGTGATATGTTTTAAAGACATATTCTGACAGTTATATCATTTTTGTAATGAGCATAAATCCCTGTTCAACAGTAGACTGCGTTGTAATTTTCTGAGACGTGAAACACTGTTAACTAACCCACTTCTCCCTGAAGATCCTGTTCATTCAAATTGTCATGTCAAATATTTCTAGTTATTCTAGCGATCGGAACAATATTTTATTTACAAAACTGAATATCACACACAGTAATTGCTGATATTTTATATTTGCTGTATGTAATATAGCACACGCAAAGTTTAAATTTGTTCGGTGCATATTTTTGTTTTATTGCAAATGAAATAATTATGCAAAATATTGTTTTAACTTGACAAATACTATTTTATTTTCAATATATACTCTTTTTGTATAATCGATTTATCACACAGATTATATATAGGTGCAACGGAAAATTCGAACAGCACATACAAACCGTACACGTGTAGAACACGTAAAAGGGAGATTAAAAAGTTTCCTCAACATTAAAAAGTTTTCGCTGCATGATTAACAACACTGCTGAAGCAGTTCTGTTTGCATCGAAAACACTGTTTCGGCCGCTTTGTAAATATTTCAATCCACTCGTATAAACTTCGTTACGGCAAACTTTCTTTTTCCACATTGGACAGTCAATTGTCGGTGTTATTCCGACGCTCTATGGTACAAACCTCTAGCGGAGCACCAATCTTTATACGTCACTCTCGCTAGGCACAAACAAACTGCAACTGAACCATACTCGCAGCATGCCACCGTCTGTCCATGAGATACGCACAGTATGACCATGCCTCAGCAGTGTTACCAGTCACACAACAAAAATGTCCCAAAATTGCGAAAACTTTTTTAATATCCCTTGTATATCTATGCACTTTGTTTTATGACTCTTGGCAAGATAATTGCAGTGGATACCGAAATAAACTGGGATGTGTTTTAAGTATTAATACAGAATTTACTTTGAAAGACTGAATAAAACTACGAAGACACTCAGAATAGAGAGAATGAGAGAATCTCTTAAATAAGAAGGGGTGTCAGTATCTGAACTGCGTCGCAATTAATTTTGTTTTAAGAAAGAAAGTTCTTATTAAGTTTTTGAAAATAGTCTGCGTTCTGAATCAATTTAATTTAATTAACAGTAGCTAGGAAGCATTCTGAAGGGCTTCGTCTTGCGTCTTGCTTTATGAATGTTGCTGGTCTGCAGTTTAAATAACCACGCACACGACAACACTTCCTCTTTAACAAAGTGCTGATGTCAGGGTTTCTCTAGTTTCCAGCTTGAACGCCATTTTATTTTGCTGTTCCTGCACTCAGCTCCCAGCTGAGGACCATAAAATCCTTGATGTGGAACAAAATTAAAGGAAAACAGATCCATGAATATTGTGAAATTAAGGAATAGGTCTCGCAATAATATTAATTAGAAGTTTTGTTTTTCACTTTTACTTTTAAAATATTAGCCTTTCAACAGTTAACGCTTTGTCACTAAATGAGGGTAACCCTACAGAGTCGGTTGGCAACCATGTGGTATTTTCAAATTACAGAATTCTTATTTAAAAATTCCGTATCTCAGCACGACAAACATATTTCACTATTATTTATAAGGTGCCATCTGACATCGACAGGCAAAATATCGTTTACTTTATAACCATACTGTAGACATAATATATTATTTTACCTGTTTACATCACCAAGAAATTAAAAAAAAACTATATTAGTAAGCACTTGGTCTGCATATCTAAAAATATTCATTCACCATATTGGCATACTTACGTAAGAAAAAACTGAAAATGGCGTGGTAGTGATGAGCTGCTGTGTCGGGTCCAAGAAAATCAATACTCTGAGAAAGAGAATAATTTTAAAATAACATACCTCTTTTGTATTATAACAAGCATTTTAAATACCAAGTCTCAAATCTAGGTTAGTCTAGTAGTGCTAGAGATTTAAGTAACAGAACATTTATTTCACTGATCATTTTCGGCTATGGTTTAGATATAAACCCTTTCCAAGCAAACAACGCCTTCTCTCTCTTTGAAAAGTACGGTATTTTGCACTCTGTTTCTTCCTGCATTATAATATATCTGTACCAAATATGAATGCCTTGTCGCACACATTAGTCCCGATCATCAATCAATGTCTACTCACTGGAATGAAGTGCATGTTTGTCTACATGAGTACGGTAAGTAACTGAGCCAGAGGGGTTGAATCTCCTACACTCACCCTTACATTCAGGGGAGAAACTACCACGTGTGAAGTAATGTAAATTTCATTATTTTCGCATCGCGCTGTACTTTAATCTGTCTAAAATCCCCTACTTTGGATTTGAAATATGTATTTTCCATTAGGAAAACAGAAAAAAGAATGTCTCGTTTAATCATGAATTATTTTAAAGACTAGCAAAAGTAGAAGCCGTCGTCACAGAACTGAAAGCATTCACACAGGACAGGGTTTCATCCTGAGCGTGGATTTACTGCTTCATTTTTATAACAAACAGAAAACAAACATTTTAATTCAACTCAGGACTTCTTCTTCTTCTTCTACAGTTCGTTTTAAAATCTGCCATGTCCTCTTTGCCTGTCTAGAAACTCTATGACTACAATATACAAAACTGCGTTTCATCTGTGTATTGTGAGAATACTATATAAACATTTGTGAATCAGCGTAAAGGAATTTGCTTGTAGCCTACATCTCAAATGCTTCAAAACATCCTCTCCTCTATAAATAACATCCCACATCTGCTATTGTACGTGGTATTTGTTAGCTGTGTTGTCCGAAAATTGACACATAAATACGCTTTATTTGATATCTACTGCTGTCATAAAGAATGATTTGAAACTGTCTGTAACTATACATTTATTATGTATATTTATGCCACGCAGTTGAAAGGGTGCTGAATTATTTGAATGCATATGAAGTTACAAATCTCAAGCCGTTTACAAAGCGCAGTCCACACTGCTTGGCTGTATTTAATAACCAGTTTTCTTCAGCTGTTGCGAATTCTACGAGAAACCGAAAAATATTAAAACTGCTAAATCTTCGAGCTCTATCTGTTCACTGCAAAAGTATTTGTTTTATTGTTGGTCTTTTCCAGTACACCCAGGTCGAATTTGGGGAGATAAAATCCTGTTAAATATGTACCGGGTGCTCTTTATTAAAGGATAAGGCGGTCAGAGCGTAAAAATTGACCGATCAACTCATCTAGTATCAAGATAAAATTACGTGAAATTTCACTTACACAGTTTAGAGACGTTATTTTATTGTTTATGTATAAATATGCATATGTGTGTGTGTATGTACAAGTGTGTGTGTATCTATTACATATGTAAGCATTTATTCTATTTTCCTGGCTGTATGTTTAAGTGTCTGTCTGATTATTTGTGTATTTATTCGAATATGCATCCATTCTTTCAGATCCAAATACTGTCTAACATTCATTCAATACGAGTCTAGTTTCATAAAACTGCTAACCGATGATATATCGCTACCTACGTATGACCAGACAAACATTGCTGTAAAAACTGTATAGTGCATAAAGTTTAATTAACTTCCAGTTCCGCCCTTGCTGTAATATTAATTATAAACCACTTTTAATCTACGTTATAGATTTAGTAATATAAAACAGTTTTAATTCCAACTCACACAGAAAACTGCTTGTGATGTGAATTTCCACAATCTTACAGCTACCCGGCAGGCATAACAGTGTTCCCGTCATGCACTGCAAACTTCAAAGTCGGTCCATAATCATTACTGGGTGGTACGGTATTATTAAAATACGATATTAACACAGTTTCCTTGTCAAGACTTCACATATAATATGTGCGTTTTAATTATGTAGCTGTACAAACACTCACAATATCTTTGGCAATGTGTTTCTGCATCACAGAAATGATAAAACACAGTCGCACGCGTAATAAACGGCTTTCCGTAATATTTCCACTCTGCGTGATCTGATTAAATGCTCATCCACAAGAGAATTGTAATGAATTAAAATGTATTTCCATTCGTCAACAAGAGTAAAAATAACTTTTGTATTTGCCAGTTATTTGTACAAATCAAACAAAAAGCATCTCTGCATATTCCGTTGTACAAGGGGGGGGGCTGTCAGCACCAATTCTGGGCCCCAATGCTGATAGGAGCATGTTGCACTTATATTATTGTAATGGTAGATACCTTTCGATAGGTTGATTTTTACAGCGTGTCTGAGAACAGCCCAGAATAAGAAGAGTAATTAATATATTCCTCGTGTCTGTTCGTCTGTCAGTGTGTATGTCGGACATTTGGATGATAATTAGATTTTACAGTTTAAAAGCCTGCTCTAAAACTGATGTTCACCGTAAAAATTTTCATTATTTCGATTAAAAATCCAAGTTATAAAAGGAGATTCAATATAGGCTATAAGTAACAGAATTCTCAAACAACTCAAAAACATCTTCCGTCTTCTTGTTCGAATGTCTTTCGCGATAATACTGTTCTATTACATTCCTTGTTTTGTATTTTATCTTTCGTCTGTTTTTAAAATGTTAAGAAAAAAAATTGACAACACATAAATACGCTCGCATAGCGTAATGCCGAATTATGTCTCCTGATTTTGAAAAAGTCTTCTGGGATCTTGCGTCATGTAGTCTCAACCGACGTTTCAGAACTGCTTGTTGTCTCCATTATCAGGGAGATTATATAGGCACGGCACTCGTCGCCCTGATGATGGTGGCAGTGTGCACCTCTGAAACATCGGTCAGTTTCTACGAGATTACACGGCGCAGTAACCCATCTCCCTGCAGCCGTAAGAACCTAAATCTTGCTGCTGAATTTAGTTCAAACTCTTTCATATGAAGAGCTCTGCTTCAAACGGAAGTATCTTTTGATTTATCGGCCTGTTTGTCGACACTCTCGTTGGCTCCGGGCGAAAAATTAGTCACGTTCCTCCGAACTGCGCCCCCCTGCGGCGAAGATGGAACGAATTACTTGGTGATAATTGGCCGCTCCGAGGCATGAACGAGCCACAGTGAACGGACAGACACAGCATCACTGAGAATTGTAGCCTATATGCACCGCATTGAAACACATTATTTAATTATTTGTGAGAAATTTAATTACAATGTCAGCAGCTCAGACTACGTGGAGTCGAATGACAGAATGATTAATAAACAGAGGAATGGAAATGATTTTGAAGCTACGGAACTCAAATTTCGTATTCACTGATCATCCTACCGTTCGACGCTGTTTAATCTGAGATCTCTAACCTCTGCGTCCAGATCGGCTCTGCGGCGGGGGTCCTTTCCCCCGGAATGAAGCGTGGCCGGGGCGTGACGCTAACCACTCACCCCTATCTAGTGCAGAGGTTTAGAATTAGTAGGAGCCCTCCCTTTTCTCTATCCCCCCACCCCAAGCGCCTACATGGCGTGTAGCGGGACAGCTTTGCATTTACTTTTTACTTTTGTATTATCTGAATTGCTGAAAGTGTAGTTAAATAAACCAGGAAAGGGTAGAATTGCCTATACATAACTTAATTTTCTTACTTTTAACAAAAACTTCTGTATCTGAAGTATTGGAAGCGTCCTTGGATAAGTTACAACTAAATTATGTACACAAATAACCACAAATATTTAAATTCTCTTACTTGTAATATATCCCTCGATACTTAGAAGGGTACTGCTTTCTTTATTGCTTACTTACTACCTTTCACAACAATAATCTTGGTTTTTATCTTGATTGCTCGTATGCTTTAAATTCGTTTCATCACATTTTCTCTCCAAATGCTCTACATTTCCTTTCGAGCCGGCCAGCATCATTTCTTCTGCGAGACCCCTCTGTCCAGCATCGAAGTGTTTGGTTACTTCCTACTCATACAATTATTTGGAACTGACTATGACGTTATTATCACCACAGGGTAAAACGAGAGAAGCAGAGAGAGAGAGAGAGAGAGAGAGAGAGACAGGATGACAACAGGGAATTGGACGTCTGTAGCAGATGGAAAACGAGATTCAGCAGAAACGTAACAGTGAGGTTTGAGGGCTGTGTCAGGAGTCCAGTGTCTAGTAGAATTCACGAAAGGAGATTAATGATCTTTGTTAATTTGGAATCAAATGGAAAAATGCAGGTATCGTAAATAATTTACTGAGAAACAATCACGTCATAGAACATGGTCTTCTCTCCCGATACAAGGGCCTATTGTGCTGACTAACTGGAAATTAACTAGAATACACGGCTTACGTCACTGATGGCTGCAATCGTGAGATACAGTTGTGTCTAAGAGAAGCTACAGAGGTTATACAGTTCAAGAGAAGACGACAATGAATGAGAGGACGGTATGTGATTCACCAGCTCATGGAGCTAACTTAAGGCTCGTGTAGCCGAGGTAAGCTGACTCACTGGTTGTTCCACGGCACTTCAAATATAACTGAACTTTTATTTTAAATGTTATTTAATATGGATGTGAGACTCATCTTGAGGGATAGCATACTTGGGGATTTTGAGAGAACGTATTGAGGAGAATGAGATTTCAGGTCTCACGGCGGCGAGTGCGAATATAACAATACAGATGAAGGTGAACGCCTTTATAATGGAAGCGGAAAACACTTACGAAACATCGGTCAATTTTGAGGCGAGTACCGGCGCAACATCCTTGGAGATAGTCATCTTCGTGTTGAGAATATTTCGTCCTAAAATAGAGGAATCAATAAGGGGCTGGTGGAAACTTCATAATGAGGAGTTTCACAGTTTATTGTCTTCACTAAACATCACCGGGGTGACCACATCAAGAAGGCTGTGGTTGAAAGACGTATATTGGGCACGGGAAGACGAAGCTAAAATAGATTTAGATGGGAACCCTCTAGGGAAGAG